GCCCAGTGTTTTGCTGGCCTCCCTGCCTCCTTCCAGAGGCTCAGTGTCTGTGGAGTTACTTAGGCCCATGAGGGAAGAGGGAAGGTGCTGGATGGTAGCATTTTAGGGGTTGATTTGTTCATTCCAAAAGAGATCCATGTCTTCACGTGGGCACTATGGAGCTGAGTGTCAATTGTTCCAGCAAAGCCTGTGGGGTCCTCGCCTATAATAAGCAGATTTTATGCATTCTGCAGTACAGGACTATGTGTGGAGTGATTATAGGACTGTAGAGAAATTGTTTAAAATCTGGGCTTGTGTTAGGTGATTTGAGGGAGAAGTCAGAAGGTGGAATTGGGCTCTGTCTAAATAGGTATTCTCAGAAAGAAGACTCAGGGGCTGGGAATGTGGCTCGGTGGTAGAGTGCTTGCCTAGCATGCATGAAACCCTGGGTTTGATTCCTCAGTACCACATGCACAGAAAAAGCCAGAAGTGGCTCTATGGCTCAAGTGGTAGGGTGCTAGCCTTAAGCAAAAGAAGCTCAGGGACAGTGCCCAGGCCCTGAGTTCAAGCCCCAGGACTGGAGAAAGAATGAAAGAGAGAGAGAAGGAAAGAAAGAGAGTGAGCAAGCATACTCAACTCTCTCAACTCTGTCACTGGGGAGTCTATTATGGCTTATCTATAAGACATGTTAACTGAGGTCAAAGCCACCTTTTGTGATGAAGCATTCACTATTCACATTCGCTGAGTCATTTTTGTGAAATGCTTGTGTGTCTGTGTGGAGACAAGATTCCAAGCTAGCTTTGTTTTTATCTTGATCCATCATGGTGACAGAGATGGCCTTGTCTAGTAGCAGCTTTTCTATGAAATAGTCTATGCTCAACTAGACCCGAAGAAACTGTGCTTGTGCCAAGCCAACCTGAGCAATGAAGGCCCAGCCAAGAGGACCAGACAAGCCATAGGTGTCAGAGCTTAGGAAGCCTGGATGCCCAAAGCAAGATGCTCAAGTATATCAGGGGCACCTGGGGCCTGGGGGCCTGAGGTCCTACAAGCAATAATGGTGGAAGTTTTAGAGATAGCATGTCAGGTCAGTATCCCTGAGGCTGTAAAGCACCAGAGCTAGACGTACAACCTCCGAGGCACCAGAGCTCTTAAGAGGTCAGTGGAGAGGTGGGGGCAGTTCAGGAAGCTCAGGAATGAGCTGAATGCAGGCAGAGAATGTATGTGCAGATGTCAGGCTGGGAGGGAAGGCAGGGTAAGCCTGCAGGCAGGGAGGCCAGTGTGTGGCTGTTGGGGAGAATTTGAAGGCCTACTCAGAGTCCTGAAAGTGGAGAGGATGGGAGTGGGGCGGAAAGGAGGAATTTGGGAACAGGCTGGGGCACACTGGGAGGATGGAGCGGCTAGTTTTTGGCATGGGTCAGGGGATCTGTGCCTGTTTGGGAGCAAAGACTGAGCCAAGTGAGCAAGAAGATGACAAGGAGACCCAGTGCAGGAGAGCCTGGGGCAGTAGCCAAGTGGAGGTGCTCCGAAGAGGAGTAAGCAAGTGAGAGAAAGACAGCTGACCTGGTTTGGGTAGGAGAAAGGAGATGGTAAGTAGTCAAAACGATGTTTGAAGGCCACTGTGGCCAGCACCAGCCTGCGCTTATGTGGTTCAGTGTTATGAATGTTCCTTTATGTACGAATCTGAGAATGGAGACTTCACCCATCATCTGTCTGTCTGTTTGTCCATCTCCAGAACACCAAGTTGTGAGCACCCAAGCAGTGCCCACCACAACCCCCGAGCCTCCCCGCAAGCCTCGCCTGGGGGAGCTGACCGTGACAGATGCCACCCCCGACTCCCTGGGGCTCTCCTGGACAGTCCCCGAGGGACAGTTTGACCACTTCCTGCTGCAGTACAGGAACGGGGACGGGCAGCCCAAGGTGGTGAGGGTGCCAGGCCATGAGGACCAGGT